GTAGTCATTCATCCGTCATGAGCCAACAAAAACCAACAACAACTGCTACTAGTGGTGCAGCAGCGATGCCTACTACCACTATGAACAATCCTGCTGCTGCTGTGCTGCTCCGACCTGTGCGTCGAGTGCTTCAAAATTTTCTTCTGGTTTGGCTTGATTCTAATTTCAATGAATCCGACGAAGATTTCAAGAAATCGCTACAACACCTACGACGTATTGTTGCATCGATCACAACATTCACGGATGTTCAAGAATGTATTAATTTCCTTAGTGAAATTAAAAAAGAAAAGATATTTATGATTGTATCTGATTCCTTGGGTCGGCAAATCGCACCAGAAATTGAAGCATGGCCACAATTGGAATCAATTTATGTGTTTTGTAGCAATCAGGCGGTCCATGAACAATGGGCCAGAAAAATAGCCAAGGTAAAGGGTGTGTATACAAAAATCGAACCGATTTGTAAAGCCTTACAAATCGATCGTGAATATTGTGATCGAGATTTGATCTCGATTAGCTATCATGGCATCGATGCGTTATTTATGTATACGCAATTATTGAAAGAAACGCTTTTGGATATTGAAGACGACGATGCAAAATCAATTAAAGAACTTGCTGAATATTGCCGTCTTAAAGATGATATTGATGAAGGTGAAATTAGGGGGATCGAAAAAGAATATCGTGATCATACATCAATATGGTGGTATACAGCACCATACTTTATGTATTCAATGCTCAATCGTGGCCTTCGCTTAATGGACGTCGACATTATAATTAAAATGGGTTTTTTTAGTCGTCATTTACATCAAGATATTGAAAAACTATATCATGAACAACAACAATCCAGCACGAAGGCTACGGCACCATTCATAGTATTCCGTGGGCAAGGTTTGTCAGTTGAAAATTTTGACAAAATGAAACAAACTAAAAGTGGCCTAATGTCGTTCAACAATTTTCTTTCAACAAGTCTCGATCGCGACATTTCTCTCACAGATTTTGCACGGCCAGCAGCGTTCAAAAATCCTCAGACGGTTGGCATCCTCTTCATTATAACTATTGATCCTGATGTATGTACAAAATCAAAAATTCCATTTGCTGATGTTAGTCAAGTTAGCTTTTTCGAAGGCCTAGAAGCCGAAATTATTTTTACAACACACACCATTTTCCGCATCGATCGAATTAAACAAATCCCAGACGACCATACTGATCGCCTATGGGAAGTCAAGCTCACTCTTGTGGGTAATGACAATCATCAACTTAACACTCTTACAGCGCACATACGTGAAGAAGTTACCTCGTCTGCAACACAAGGTTGGTCTCGACTTGGCGAAATACTTATTAAAGTGGGTGAGGCCACCAAAGCAGAACACCTCTATAAGATCCTTCTAGAAAAGGCATCTTCTGATAAAGAGAGATCGGATTACAGTCACCAACTTGGTCGGGTCTATGATAATATGGGCAAGTACTGGAAAGCACTTCTATTTCTTAACAAAGGGCTAGAAATGCGAAAGACAATTCTCCCGCCGAATCATCCAGATTTAGCAAAATCTTACAACGGCATCGGTGTGGTGTATAATAACATGGGCGAGTACTCGAAAGCACTTTCATCGTACAAACAATCGCTTGAAATAAAGAAAATAGCTCTCCCTGCGAATCATCCCGACTTTGCTCAATCCTACAACAACATCGGTAATGTGTATAATAAGATGGGAGAGTACTCAAAAGCACTTTCATCGTACGAACGGTCACATGAAATCCGAAAAATAGTTCTTCCTCCGAATCATCCCGACTTTGCTCAATCCTACAACAACATCGGTAATGTGTATAATAAGATGGGTGAGCAGTCGAAAGCACTTTCATCGTATGAACGATCACTTGGCATCCGAAAAATAGCTCTCCCTCCGAATCATCCCGACTTGGCTCAATCCTACAACAATATCGGTGTAGTGTATAGAGACATGGGGGAGTACTCGAGAGCACTTTCACCGTACGAACGAGCGCTTGAAATTCGAAAAACAACTCTCCCACCAAACCATCCCGACATCGCTCACTCCTACAACAACATCGGTAATGTGTATTATAGCATGAGCGACTACTCAAAAGCACTTTCATCGTACGAACAATCACTTGAAATCCGAAAAATAGTTCTCCCTCCGAATCATCTCGACTTGGCTCAATCCTACAGCAACATTGGTAATGTGTATAATAAGATGGGCGAGTTCTCGAAAGCGCTTTCATCGTATGAACGATCACTTCAAATCAAAAACATAGCTCTTCCTCCGAATCATCCCGGCTTCGCTAGATCCCATAATAACATCGGTGCGGTGTATTATAACATGGGCGAGTACTCGAAAGCACTTTCATCATACGAACGAGCACTGGAAATCCGCAAAATAGCTCTCCCTCCGAATCATCCCGACTTGGCTGGTTCCTACGAAGGCATCGCTTTGGTGTATAATAACATGGGCGAGTACTCGAAAGCACTTTCATCGTACAAACAATCGCTTGAAATAAAGAAAATAGCTCTCCCTCCGAATCATCCCGACTTGGCTCAGTCCTACAGCAACATTGGTAATATGTATAATAAGATAGGCGAGTACTCGAAGGCACTTTCATCGTATGAACAATCACATGAAATCCGAAAAATAGTTCTCCCTCCGAATCATCTCGACTTGGCTCAATCCTACAGCAACATCGGTAATGTGTATAATAAGATGGGTGAGCAGTCGAAAGCACTTTCATCGTATGAACGATCACTTGAAATCTCGAAAATAGCTCTTCTTCCGAATCATCCCGCCTTGGCTGGTTCCTACAACAACTTCGGTTTGGTGTATACTGACATGGGGGAGTACTCGAAAGCACTGTCATCGTACGAACGAGCACTGGAAATCCAAAAAATAGTTCTCCCTCAGAATCATCTCGACTTGGCTGTTTCCTACAACAACATCGGAGGAATGTATTATAACATGGGCGAGTACTCGAAAGCACTTTCATCGTACGAACGAGCACTTGAAATCTCGAAAATAGCTCTCCCTCCGAATCATT